AAAAAAAAGTCATTGCGATTTATATGGCTGACCGGGAAGCCTTAAGTAAACTGCGAATTTGACATTAACAATCAGCGACTCAGTCCGGTCTTATGTTAAAATTTTCGGCTCGTTGAGTATCCGTTTTGGGGGCAATATGCAGCCACTGAGGCTCAAGACCCTCTTCAAAGTTTCTTCGGATCTCACGGGGAGGTTGGGTGATGCTCTCTACTGTAAACCTAAATTAAATCCTCCTTCATTGATTGGTACTCGAAGCTTAAGAAAAGATCAGTGGGAAGAGAGTTATTGACGATTATGAAGCGTGCACTTACTTTTGGGGCACCCTTGTGGGATGAGTTAAGGTAATGCTTTATAGAAGTGAACTTTGACGGAAAATCTGCTACCGCTCCAAACAAGCAACGAAATGGATGTAGACGAACAGGGACGGAAAATGTAGGTCACTTACGGAAAATTACCCCAGCAATCCAGTTGCTTCAGCAACATCCGCATCCACGCACCAACAATCGAATGTCCACCAAAGGTGGATTTTTACCGCAACTCTATCGATGTTGTGCGTCCCTCTATGGGTCAGCTTATCCATGGAAATAAAGTCGCACCGGAAGAGACTAAGATCGACTTAGTCAAGGCATGCCGTTGTTTCGTGAAAAATCGTTGATATTCATGAGTTTTCAAGTTTAGGAACAAAATGGTGGACCAGTGGAGCACAAAAAGAAATCAGGCTTCAAATCAATTCTAAGTAAATTCTTACCTTCGCAAAAACAGGCGAGTAACTTTTTCATTATAGTCACTATTTCGCGGAACTTATGTAACCTTTTAGAAAAAACGCGTGAAGTTCGGCTGGGTAGAGGGTGTTCTGATACGATGCGTGCTCAACATATTTGGCGTAATGTTATATATACGTGTCAGTTGGGTAGCAGGGCAAGCCGGCCTCAGTGAGCTTCCTTTGTGAGTTTCTGAGATGTCTACTATTTGTCTTCGTTCAGTTCTTGGAACCGTCATAGTACTAATAGCTGGTTTTGTGACATTCATTAGTGCTATCTCCATGAGCGCGATTTGCACAAATGGAGTTGTCAAAGGAGGCGGCGCCTATTTTTTGGTTAGTATGATTGACGCTCACTGGTTGCTGTCAAGTTCAAATAATTGCAGATATCGCGTTCTCTCGGTCCCGAGTTTGGTGGCTCAATAGGCATAATTTATTCTATAGCCAACGCTATTGCTGCAGCAATGTATGTCGTTGGCTTTGGTGAGACACTACGAGATGTGCTCAAAGAGCACGATGCCATGTTCGCTTCGGATTTGTGGGTTGTGCGGATAGTAGGATGGGGTATGTTATATGAAGATCATGTAGTGACGTTGCATG